GATCTGATGATTTAAACATAGTTACTGCCTGTAGGCTTAATGGGGCACTCTCTGGCAATGGTGTGATTAACATTCATGTCTGCCCCTCCCTGTCAGCTGGCAGTGTTTATTTACTATGCTGTGTGGAAGCCTCAAAAACAGTGGATCACCTTGGACACAGGCATCCTGGAGAGTCCCTTAACCTACAGTCCTGAGAAGAGAGAGGAAGCCTGGAGGTTTATCTCCTACATGCTGGTCCATGCGGGGTAAGGAGTGACAGTTAAGTCATTGGTGTCAGAGGTGATTATAAGTAATGTAAGAAATTGTCACTTCTCACTGTGTGTGTGTGTTACTGGGAATTGAGCCCAGGGCCCCACACCTGCTAGGCTAGCACTTTAGCCCTGAGCTATACCCCCCCCCCTTTTTAGATTTTGGGACAGGGACTCATTAAATTGCTCAGGTTGGCCTTGAACCTGTGATCCTCCTGCTTTATCCTTCTGTGTAGCTGGAATTACAGGTGTGTGTCACCCTGCCCCCTGTCACCCCTAACTTGTGTTTAGAGCTTTATTATCATAAATAAGGTACTTCCATGTCCATTTTCTTATTTGAGCCTCACAGCAGCCTAGGAGGTGAGTATTTCTCCCATTCTTATGTCTGAAGATGTAATCACTTGCTGCACATCCCACAGCTGATTCAGAAAGAGACCTTACCCGACAAGTGCTAACAATATAAACTACTTTACATTGCATTGTAACTATCTAATGTTTGTTTTGATATAGGAATTTTAATGAGCAGATGCCAAATAATTATCAAATCAGACATAGGTCTCCCTAGTTGATGGATGTTGTTAAATGTTTTCTAATTTAGGTTATGTAATGGTAGAACCAAATGACCATCAGCATCCCCCCCCCCAATAATCCTACACCACACTCTTTAAAAAAATTAATTCATTTTCATCAGTGTGAAATACTGTTTTGCATTTGATATGTTACAGGCAATAGGAAGTGCGGTGCTGCATTTTAGTTGTATCATTTCCTAAAAGCAGATAGTCTTTCATGTCCTCAGCATCCACCATTTCCCATACGCGCTGAAGTCCGTCAGCAGCCTGCTGCCAGACCCACCTCTTTGGTGGACTCCTATGGTGTCCAGTGAGGCCAATCCTGTCTATGTGGCCTACCCAGCTGTGGTGTAAAAGATGACTCTTTTGGTCAGTGGCTAAAACAACAACTATTACAGGACACAGAGGTTTGATGAGTCAGGTATAAAAATCCCCAATTGCTGAGTTTCTGTCCATACTTCCATACTTTCATTTTCCATTTTACAAATCTTTTCTAAGCAAATGTGGCTTCTGCTCTCAAGGACATTAAAATTATAAGAAGAATAAACCAATAGTAATGTTGGCAATATAGTACAGTAGCTACTTCTTTTTTTAAAAAAAATATTTATTTTTTGTAGTAGGACACAGTAACTTTATTTATTTATTTTCATGTGGTGCTGAGGATCGAGCCCAGGGCCTCGCTCGTGCTAGGCAAGCGCTCTACCACTGAGCCACAACCCCAGCCCCAGTAGCTACTTCTTTAAAATGGGATTTTAGTACCACCTCTTAAGGTGGTTGTGATTAAATGAGACACTGCTACAATTTTCACAGTGTCTGATATATATATATATATAGTAAGACACTCAGAAAGAATTTGCATGCCTATGTAGGACATGTCACATATGGGGTTGTATAAGAGATGCTTTGGGATGTGAATTAACAAATAGAGAACTTTTTTTGGGTTGTGTGTGGGGGTTATATGGTGCTGGGGATTAAACTCAGGGCCTTAAGCATGCTAAGAAAGTGCTCTACCACTGACCTACAGCTCAGGTCAAGAGGCTAATTTTTTTCTAATATGAAAAGTACAAGGTAGGTGATCGGTTCATCAGCTTATTGAATCCATGGCTCTAGGTTCTGTGTTGGTGTCTCTGCTATTCTTTTGGCCTTTTTTGCTTTCAGGTTGGCTGTTACAATTCTGCATTCAACGCCAAAAGAAGGGGAAGGGGGACACCAGGTACAGGCGAATCCAGCCCTTTAGTCAAGACGGAGCTCTCTTAACAGTGCTCTTACTTGCTCACTGGTCAGAACTATGTGACTGGACCTGGCAACTCCTAGCTAAGAGAGGTTGGGAAAGTCAGCATTAGATCTTGTAGCCTGACTGGAGGAAGCTGGGTAGGGAGAAGAGAAATGGATGCTGGAATCCTTATAGTGTAAGATAAACAGAGAGAGGGAAAGAACAGGGTGGGGATGGCTTCTCGGGATGACAGATTGAAATTGGAACTTGAAAGTAGGAAAAATTTGGGTGAAAAAAATTAGTAATTCTATTTAAGGTAGATGACACATTGTAATTTTAATGCCACTTTTAGTCTTACTGTTGAGCAGCAGAAAGTTTGTATGGGGTTTGGAGTTTTTATGATATTGGTCACCTTGTCCTCAAAGGGTTCTCAGAGGACAGGATGGCTTTATTTGAACTTCTCATTTAAATTCAGGAGCAGATATTTCTAATCTCCTTTATGCTTGAGGTATCCAGAACAATAGTATAACTGTCCTTGCTAGACTATTCTGTGCTGAATGACACATAACTCTTGTATGGTTTTTTTTTTTGTGTGTGTGTGTGTGTACACTGCAGTTTAACTCAGGGGCACTCAACCACTGAGCCACATCCCCAGCCCTATTTTGCATTTTATTTAGAGACAGGGTTTCACTGAGTTGCTTAGCACCTTGCCGTTGTTGAGGCTGGCTTTGAACTTGTGACCCTCCTGTCTCAGCCTCCTGAGCTTCTGGGATTACAGGTGTGAGCCACCATGCCTGGCTCTCGTATGTCTTTGAAGATGTCTTGGGCACTCATAGTTATAGCTGGGAGCACAGGCACCAAAAAAGTAAATAATCCATTCTGCAGGATGTATCCAGAGAACCTCTTCAGTGACCTGTTGGATATCTGTAAAGTACATGATGAATCTTTAAAACTAACATGAGAACTGCTGCACTGTGGAAGATTGATGCATCTATTTTGTTTTGGAACTTTTGGTACAATCTGAAATCTCCTTAAAAAACAAACAAACAAACAAAAACACTGTGCTGCATAGCAACTAAATTAAGAGTTACTTTAATGTGGGAATTTTTCAAATTATGTTCAGATTCTCCAGAGATGCTTTGTGGGTTCAATAAGCAAGATAATAAAAACTTTGTTTAAAAATATTTTTACTGGCCTGAAGACGTAGCTCAGTGATAGAGCACTTGCCTACCATGTGTAAGGCCTGGGTTCAATTCCCAGCATTGAAAAAACCCTCTGTGTGTGTGTGTGTGTGTGTGTGTGTGT